CTCCGGAAGACCAAAAACAATTCAGGACACCGATCTGCAAGCGTTATTGGATGAAGATGATACGCAAACACAAGATCAACTTGCGGAGGCATTAAACATGACTCGCCAAGGTATTTCCAAATGTTTACATGCCATGAAAAAAATTCAAAAGGAAGGAAATGGGTGCCGCATGAGTTGACTGAGAGACAGATGGAAAATCGAAGAGCCACTTCCGAAATTTTGCTTTTTTTGTGGCATGAAAGAGTTTCCTGCATCGAATTGTTACCGGCGATGAGAAGTGGATATATTTCGAGATTCCCAAACGCAAAAAATCATGGCTTTCACCTGGCGAAGCCAGGTCAACATCGACAGCACGGCCAAGTCGCTTCGGAAAGAAGACAATGCTCTGCGTTTGGTGGGGCCAGAAAGGAATCGTGTACTGTGAACTGCTGAAACCGGGCAAAACTGTCAATGGACATCGCTACCGACAACTGATCGATTTGAACCATGCATTGCTCGAAAAACGGCCAAAATGGGACACGAGACACGAACGAGTTATATTGTAGCACGACAACACTCCGTGCCATCGCACTTCCATCGTCCAGGACACCATTAAAACGCTGAAATGGGATCTGCTACCGCACCCGCCGTATTCGCCAGACCTGGCCCCTTCCGATTATCACTTTTTCCGATCGATAGCGCATGGATTGGCTGGGCAACACTTGGCCAATTTCGAAAAAGTGCAAAATTGGTTGGATGAATGATTTCGGTCCAAAGATGCGTCGTTTTATCGTCGCGATATTCATGTATTGCCAGAGAGATGGCAAAAATGTATAGCTAGCGAGGAGCGATACTTTGAATAAACCATTTTTTGTATCTCTCTTGAAATTTTCCATTTTTCATTCATCAAAAAAACCCGGAAACTTAGTTGCGTACCTAGTACTTGTTAATGTTAACGATCAGATCGAGTATGCGTGAGAGTGCCCACCCGTTATCTCGTTTTTGGAATTCTTCCAAGGGCGCTAAGGTGGGCTCGATAACACGCATCGCGAATCAATTGTCCAGATCAGATGTGGGAAAATGTCTAAAGATGAGGGAAAAAGTCTTCCTCGTATTGATGTTCTTGTTCGCGCGTTTATCACCCGCCACAAATTCACCGTTGAACACTTTTAGGCTACCGTGTCTTTTCATAACGCTTCGCACATGCTCGAGCATAGTATTCTTCGAATCTTGAAGAAATCGAAGAGGTTCGGATATAGTCTGTATTTACAATCGCCCCGGTTGATACGCGACTATTGAACGTTTGTTCAATAATCCATTGACTATTGTATCGACTTCTCGCCAATAAGTTCCGAATGTCCGGCTCCTGCGTATACGAAATGTCTGCGCAAAGTATTTTTTAAACCCTCGATTTGCGCTATAGCAACCATCGAGTGCGCTGAATCAACCGATAGTCGCGGCTGTTTGGCTCGGCTATAGTGTTCCAACAACTCGAGGCACTCGTCGCACTTGTTCCCACGCGAGGTATTCGTCTCGCGAACCTAATCGAGTGGACTGATCCCACAGTTCGCGTTCTACGGATGATTCGGCCTTTTTTTCCAGCGAACGTTGTCAACACATACTATAACCGTGCACTCTGTTCGTCTTCGACTAAACTGTAGAATGTTCTGCTTTGAATTTTTTATATCACTTCTTTCTTCCAAAGATACACATCGTTATCGAAATTCGGGAAAACTTCCTGGACGATCTCGTCGACACATCTTTTTACAAATTTTTTTTACAAAAACAGGGTCTTAAACTCATATCAACCCGTTATAGATCCTGTATGCCTAAGTGCATATCTTTCTTTATCTGATACAATAGACTTGCAGACCTACGATTTGGTATCAACAGTCTGGCGTCAACGACTGACAAAAAACGTTTTTCGTCAAAAATATGATATTGTAATATGCAGTATACTCTGTTCGTCTTCGACTAAACTTACAACATTGGTGGGGAAACTTGCCTATATTAAAAGAAACTCCTGCATATTGTTTCGTCAGCCGCTCTGTAAAGACAAGGTACGACAGTAGCTTCCACATACAGTAAAACCAAAATGTATGGTGTCGAAGTGAACGCTAAGCAAGCAAATTATTATATGAATGTTCAACATGAGGATGAAGATGAGGGTCTCCTCGCGTGGAAACAAAAGTGCGACGAGTTATTCGAGACTCCACCACCATGCAAGAAGAAACATGAGAAGTGAGTATCAATGTGAATTTGGTACTTTGTGTGTACTTTCCCGGTCGAATTTTTAAATGTATATAACATTTATTGTATTTTTATAGCATTCCTGAGTCATGTCATGCTACTCGCATCCTGGGACGCAGATACCCTTTGACTACAACGTCTTATAAGTATTTGGAGATTGGACTCAATGTACAACCTGTGTCCGTCGTGGAAATAGTCCTCGGTGACAATCGCGGTAATCAACTAATATTACGTGCAGACACTTGGGGAAAACTGATGGAAAATCGTGTTGCTATATAACGACTTCTGGAAACGAGCAAACCATCGTACTTACCACTACGGATTCGAGATTTAAAATAGGAATTGTATAAGATAAATGGTCCGAAAATTGTAAAGTTAACGCTATCTCCTAAGTGTTTGTATTTGAAACCTGCTACCATGAACATGTTATTTACTTATGAACATTGTATTGATCACATATATACGCAGTTGTCCGAAAATACGTATCTCGTTAAATCAAAATTCAAACTTTTGCAAATGTTCTTCGAGAGAAAAATATTACCGAAATGTGTTATGCGATAAAAGCGATACGTGAAAGCGCTGGCGTTGATTGTGAATCACTTATTGATTGTGAGCTGTTGGCATGCGCTTTGAAAAATATCATGTACGAAGCTGTGAACAAATAAGATGTTTATTCTGAGAAATAAATTACTTTGTTATATGATACATATATCTTTTTCACTTTAAACCACATCCTTTCTTCGAAAAAATATACCAACTACTGCATAGTTTTAAACCTTACATTTTTTTACGAGGAGGGAATCCATCATGGATACCCCCACCTTCGGGGAAGGGTGGGGGGTTATGCTGGACTCTTACCGGCTAAACCCTCCCCGGGTAGTGCTGCGAAGGGACTTGGATTGGGGGCCTGAAGCCATGTAACTGCTTATCGAGTCTCCGAGTTCAGACAGTTGCCCGTCTACGTTTCCCCAAGGGATGGAGAGGGAAGGGGGAAGCGAGCCGAGGCTTCTCTTCGACCGCGGTTCCCTCTACCACCCTTTACACTCCGTCCTACTGAGAAGGGGGAAGCCGGCTTTAGCCCATAAGGACTGCCACCGCTGGCCTCAAAGCCCGCTTCAACCACTGTCCCCAAAGGATAGGGCGCCGCCTTGTGTGATGTTTGACGACCAAGTGGGCTACCACCACTTGGTCGCCCCAACTTTGGTGGGCTGGTTGAGGCCCAGGTTACCCGCCCTGGATCCCATCATCCACCCCGGCGGTTACGGGGGGAAAAATCCCCTAGCCGCCGGGGTTTCTCGCCTGAGAGATAACGTAGTCCTCTACGTGGATCCCACTCTTTCAGGCCAGGGGGGAGGGCACACTAGTGACAAGATAGTCGCCGTGTACTCCCCCCCTATGCTATTTATCCAGCACCCATATGGGCTCTGTGGCCGCGGCCGAGGTTGGCTTGTAGCGCCCGGAGGAGGGGCGTGAAAGCTATGCATCCAGCCCATCCTCTGGGCTACCCACCTTTATCCCCTCCGTTTGAACTTCCTGCGATACTGGTGTCGTTTCAGCTCCATCCGGGGGGGTTTCGGCCATGGTGACCTTAACATCAACGGGTGCCTCCGCGGTGGCACGGGGAGTCCCTACCTGTATGTCCCTCTCCTCTGGGGAGTATGAGGAAGGGTCCACAATCTGTGAAGTCGGTGGGCACATCTCCTGACTCTCGCAACTCTAGGGCTGTTGGAGGCATGCCGGTAGGTTCTACCCTCCTCACCTTCTCTGCACCTCCGTCCCTGGTTCTCCTCCGGTCTCCGGGTCCATCAGTGCAGCGGCGTCCATTTTGATCGTCCCCCTCTTCCTCGAGGCCCTCTTCTGGAGCGGCTCCGGCTGAACTGGGTCCCTAGCGTCTGAGGTTCGGGCTTCCTCCATCCATGGGTCCAGCTCCATCTCCTGGATGGAGGCCCTTCTCTCCTCCCCCTTCTCCTGTGTAGGGTCCCTCGCTGGGGGGAGGCCGGTCTGGTCTCCCCCTTCCTCGGCGCAGAGTCCCCACCGAGGACGAAAGGTCCGGGGAAGGGGCAGACACTTCTGCGGGCAGACATCCCCCCAACGAGGGACACAGCCTCCGCCACCTCCTGGGCCCCGATCGTCAAGCCCGATCGTCAGGCCGGGTAACCGCAGAGTTGCGGTCCTCACCGGTCTCTGGACCCGATATTCGGGGCCCTTTTCCACCGCCAGCCTGCGGAGCTCTTCCGCAAGCCGGTTGGCTGATGCCCCGGCGTTGAGGCCAGGCACCTCCACAAGTAATGCCCCCGTGAGGGCCCGGCAGACCCTGAGAGATCCCGGGATCCCTAGGTCCGCCGGCTTGATACCGGTGCCTGGCTTCAGCCATAAATTGGCCATATTCGCCTTCGGGGCACATTAGGGTGACGGCGGCTGACTTCGGCGGCCTTAGCTTTTGTCCCCCTTCTTTTTCTCCGAGGTGGACTGAGGAGGAGGGTGGGGAGGAGCAAGAGGGCCTCTTCTCTCCTCTCTCTTGATCTTCTTCTTATCCTTGTGATTCCTCACCATTCCCCCACTCTCCTCCTAAAAAGGTCACAGTTATCGTCATAGACCTTTATGTCAATTATCCTATCCATCCTCTCCTTCATCTCACTGGAGGATTCTCGGGGCGGGGTTTTGGTCGCCCTCCTCCATTATGCTCATCTTCCTCGGCCTGGGTGGTTTAGCCCCACTCTTCCATGCAGAGGAGTCCTCACCAGACGTTGCCTCCGCGTATGTTCTCCCCTTTACGGGGGGTGGCGGAGGAGCGAGAACAGGGATGGGGCCGACGGCGGCCTGCTTGGCCGCATCAGCTCCTCCAGGAACCGCCTGTTCTCCACCCTCAGTGCTTTCATCTCCTCCCTCAATCCCTCCATCTCTTTCCTCACCTTCGTGATGGCTTCCTTCCTCCCCTCTTGCGCAGCAACTCTAGCGATCAGAGTCGACATAACCGCCTCGGAGGCTGCCGTGGCACGGTTCAGCAGCGACACAAAGGTCCCTTTCAACGTATTAGACCTCCGTGCCACCAAGCGAACCGCATCGATTGCACGGCCTGCCTCCGAGGCTAGTTCCGTCGACCCTGCCTCCCTTAGCAACTCCTTCGAGATGGTATCCTTGAAGACCTCAAGGGAACGCCCATCGTTCAAGGAGCGAAGGATGCCCCCACTGAGAGGTCCTCCACCTCACTCTCCAGGCAATTCGCCTTCTCCTTTTTCCTTGCTGCCTTTTCCGCCCATATATGTTTGAGACCTACTCCGTTGCCCGTTGTTGCTGGCCTCCCCCTCGGGTCCCTTTTCTGTATCAGTACCGGTGTACTGGTGGAGGGTTTAGAGTCTACCTCAATGGACGAGATCGAGCTTACGCTCGTAAACTCCCTCCTTCTCTTAGCTAAGGCCGTGCTGGTGTGGGTTTTCACACCAGCACAGGCTTTGCTGGTGGTAGACGCCGTTGTGGTCGTCGTGCTGACTCCGGTCTTGGTGGCGGCAACAGTGGTGGAAGTGGTAGTCGCCTTTCCTGGGACAGCCCTGTGAACAGGAGAAGCAAACTTCCCTCTCTTGTCCCTAAACCTCTCCACCCAGACTTTCGACCCCTGCGACAATATGACGTCGGAGAGGACCGCTGTTTTCCCAGCAGCTCTCTCCTGAGTCTTCCCCGCGGTCGCGTCATCTTCCCCTTTCGCGCGCGCGCCCCCTTCCTTGCTCAAAAGGGGGCTCGGTCTTTCAGTCCTCGACGTCAGGATTGGGATACTCGATCCTTTCCCCTGGGCCTCCTCCCGTCCCTCGTTGGGTGAATGCTCTTTTTCACCCGGAGAGCCCACCTCACCACCCTCCCGGTGGAGGAGGTGCTTCTCGTCTATCGACGAAGGTTTCTCTCCCCCGTAGGGTGGCCGCCCTACTTCACACCGAGAGCTCACCTGACGCGTCCCCCGTAGGGACCGTCCTGCCGGCTGTTGTCAGCCGGGGCTTTTCCCACAGTGCGCGGGTATCCTTTCTTCTTGGCGCGAGGGCCCACCTGACTTACTCCCCGGTGGAAGCGGTCCCTACGGGGCTCTGGCGCTCACGCTCAGAGGAGGACCCATGATAGTCGGGGTCCTCGTCAGAAAGCGGGTTGTAGCTCGCGCTACTTCCCTCTATGCTCCGATTCCTGCTCCTATCAGAGCTCGCACGTAGAGGTGGCCTGCCGTCAATTGACAACGTGTCAGAGGTCAGGATCATGTCCCCGCCACGACGCTTCGCGGTAGTCAATTCGGCACAGGGACCCGCGGTCGATCCCTGTGCTTGCCCGACGCAGGATGACAACGTGGGGAGGGGGAGGACACTACCCCCATCCGCACGCCGATTCTCGGGTCCGAATACCGAGAAATCGTTTGCCTTCGTTGTCATATGTATAACCATCCAGTTGTCGGATTATTACGAGCCCGACCCACTCGGATTTGAATTCGGGGTTTTCCTTCCCCTAGACCGGCTGTCTACACAAGACTAACGAGCCCGCTCTACCCGCGCTGTAGGGATCTTCGGATCGTACAAGTACGACCCTCCAGTCCCTGGTTACCTCCTGGACGCAGCTGCCCATCCGAAAGTGGACGCTCTTAGTAAAATCCCTCCATACAGACCACCCCGGCATGGTAGAACTTGCAAGGGGCCGAAACCCACGCCGGTACAGCTCTGTACGTCACTGGGACCCGCAAGCTCCCCCACCATGGCAAGGTGGCGTCAACGGGGGAGCCCCCCTTCAAAAACCTTAGATTGTGTAGACCGAGCCTCTTTGACTCGAACTATGCATGATAGATATTTTCTCTCGTGACATCATACACATTCTAAGAACCTTTTCTTTTTTGGTGACCCAGGTAGAATCCATTATGGATACCCCCGGACCCTGGGGGGGCGTCCGGAGGTCATGCGGGACTCGCACCCGCTAAACCACCTGGAGGACATTGCCTGGTAGCCGGACTTAAGGTGCAGGGGGCCCGGAATGGTTCCACCACTGCTTCGTCCCCCCAGCACCACCCTTGACTCCACATCTCACGCCTTGGAGCTGCGCGCCGCGGGGCTCAACGGGAGGGCCGGTATATGGGAGGAGGGGAAGAGAGAGTCGCCCTTGGCTCGCGAGTGAGGAGCTCCTCAATCGCAGTTCCCCTCCCCCCCGAGCACGTCCCGACCCCATGCGCAGGGGGAATGTTGCAGCCTATGTTGACCCTACAAACCAATAAGGCCAGGCCTCCTCTTTGCTACCACCGTACGGACCGAGGAGCTCCGCCCCTTTGCTGCGACGCGCGACTCCGGCTGACTGAGTTTGACCTCGATCAGCCTGCCGGCCGATGCTGCACAGGGCCGGCGAGGGAGGGGGTGTGTCCAGCTCGCCTCCCTCACCCCACCTCGAATGGTCTGAGGTGGGGGGTCGGGGAGACAGGGCCCGGCCCCCACCGGATTATCCCGTCTCCCCTTGATCCCTCCGCCGCCCACAGGGGGAGAGAAAGAAACTTAACCCCCCCAACACGGTACCTGCCAGGAGGAGAAGACCCCCACCCCTCGGCGAGCGACGAAAGAATTTCCCCTCGGTTATCGGGGCGGACATAAAATCAGTCGGGTCGTACAGCCGACCCGGAGGCGCCAAGAAGGGAAAGCACGAGCACCCTTTCACGCTTCTGGATACAAGAGAGGGGCAACAAGCCACCCCCACCACACCCCCGGCTCCGATCCATACCCGCGGGCGTGTTGCCACGCCCGCTTCCACCGCCAACACCGGCGGCTACTTACACCCCCAGTTGCGGGCACGAAAACGTGCCCGTCCCCGACGGTTCGCTCGTTGGGGGGGACGACCGCGACGACGCACCTAGCGTCCGCCGCCCCCCTTTCGCTGGGAGGCCATTCAACAGGCTGGCCCTTCCATCCGATGGCCGGACTCACGTCCGGCCTTACGGTACACCGCGCAGTCTAGTGCATTCTTGTACGACCGCGCGGTGTGCCTACCCCGGCCACACCGGAAGCACAGCCCTCCGCGGTCAGCGGCGGCCATGTAATTAGCCTTGGCGTGGCCGGGGCCCCAACATCTGTAACACTGGGGAGGCCGAGCGGCCAGTAGGGTGACGCTGACCATCGCCCACTCCAGTGAGAAGCTCCCTGTCCTGGCGGCCTTCACAGCAACCGCCAGTGGGAGTCTAGCCCAGACTACACCTCGGCCCCTATCTCCTCACCGAAGGAAGCCGAGTTGGATGGCTCCGACAGCGCAACCTTAGCGCCAAGGCCGCCCTTACCGTTTCAGAGGACGCCTCGTTGAACCCCACGAGACGGACCTCCTCTTTCTGCACCGGACGGCCAATGACTGTCTCGGGCAATTTCTCCTTAAGCCGATCGGCTCGCCGATCGGCTTTAATTCCCTCGGGGCCTGGGTTCCGGACGCGGACCAGTATGGCGCCGTAGGCGCTCCTCCCGACGTCCACGCCCGGGGTGCCAAGATTCCCGAGGGGAATTTCCTCCGCTCGTCTGACAGCCTTCGCGTAGGAGGCCCCCTGCTGCAGCCTAACAATGACCGCGGCTGTTTCCTGCAACCGCGGCCACTTCTTCCCTGTCGAGGGGGAATTGGAAGGAGGCTGTGCCTCTTTCGCTCTCCCCCCTCGATTCTCGTCATTCCTTACCCCTATAATAGCGAGGGATGGTCCGGAGGAAAGCTGAACCTTGCTCCCCACTTCCCCCCACCGCTTCATCTCCTGGGGTCGCTGAGGGTGCCCGGTCAAAACGGCGACGAGATTACCCCAACTTCCCCACCACCTTTCCTCCTCTTCCTCTTCCTATGATTGACCTCCAACCCCATGAGGGGGGTGACTCCCTCACCATGAGGGGAGCGGAGGCGATCACTTCAACCCTTTCGAGTACCTGGGGAGTCTCCCTCTGTGAGGAGGCGTCGACCTTCGACGCCCCCTCTGGCTCAGAGACCCCCCATCCCGAAATTCCCCACTCCTCATCCGTTTGCGTCAAGGAATTTTTCCTCAGTTGCCAGTCAATTGCCTCTCGAGACATTGTCGCCTTCGTCTTTTGTTCTGGCTTTCTCCTAACCTCAATTACTTCCTCCCAGCTTTTGGCTAGTTAATTTTGGAGGAATCTCAGCTCCTCCTTTCTAGCCTGCAGGGCTATCTCACCTTTTTCGGCTCTACTCCGAAGAGTCTTCTCATCCAGGGCTTTTGCCTCCAAACCTTCAATCATTCGCTCTCGGCTTTCTTTAGTGAGCCTCAATTTCTTCCTCAATTGTACCCGTTCCCCATATAGCGTTCTAGAATTGCCCCATAGTTCTTTAATATATCCACGTAACGACGCTATTTCCCGCTTATAGTACCTCCCTTCTTCTATTCCGTCCTCATCTAGGAATCTCTCCAGTCACTCATCCCACTCCTCACGTCTAATGACGGAGTATGGCACTCCTTCCGCAATAATTGGATCCTCGTCAGGATACTCCTGTGATATGATCATAGTGCTCACAACACTCTCTTACGAGGCTCCAGACGCTCTCGAAGTTTCTCCCTCCCCATTCTTACCCCACCTCCTCTTTTTCCCTGTATTTTTATTGTCAGCCATTGAGTCATCGAAACCCACCACAGCTGCCGGCTCGACCGACCGGGCATGCCCGCACCGGAATGACCTACCGGTGTCCCCGAGTTCCCCCGGGGAGTCGGTCTATTCCGCAAGCCCAGGGAGAGGCATCCTGGGCACGGGGATCCAGCCCCCTACTCCCGCTCCATCCCCCATTGCTGGGAGGCGGACCGGTTTCAGAGGCTCCCAGCCTCCGACCTCTGGGGTACCGACAGCAGTGCCGCCACGCGGGGGGCCCCGTGGAAGGAGTTACGTCACCGGTGTCGTAACCCACCGGAACCGCTCCCCCAAGGCAGCCAGTAAAGCCTCGCCGCCCAGGGGATGGGTTTAGAGATGATGCGATCCCTATCCCCCGGACTTACCCCGAGGGACCCCGACCTCGGAATCTAAGCAGCCCGGAACCCCCCCCCCGCCTCCCCGGGTACCATGAGGGGTCCCAAACCCTCACGGTGTGCAGAACCGAGTGTCCCTTCGGGCTGCCGGAGCACCGGCGTGCAATGCCCTCAGGGACGGAATTCCCATGACGAGGGTAAGGTCTTGCCCCTCCGACTTCTGGAACACCGGCGTACAATATCGGAGGGGTGGGGTCCTTCTCCTCGACCTCACACAAAAGTGGTCGAGCCTGACCATCACTGGTCAGGCCGCCATAGCTACCCTGGGTGTTCTTGGTCCAGTCTCTCAGTACAGAACACTCCGGCATGGTAGGACCTGCCAGGAGCCGAAGCCCATGCCGGCACAGCTCTGTACATCATCGGGACCTTCAAGCTTCCCCACCACGTCAAGGTGGCACCCGCGGGGGAGACATTCTAAGAACCTTCACTAGACGTCTACTAGCAACAGGCGACAGTGGTCTAGGAGCTTGGAGCATTGGATAGTAACCGCGAGGGCTCAGGTACGAGTCTACCTTTTTTTCGTTCACGCAGGGGAAATCCTTATGGATACCCTCGACCCTTGGAGGGTCGGGGGTTATGCCGGACACTTACCGGCTAAAAACCCCTGCGGGATGACTACCATTCGGACCGGTGTGGGGGGAGTCAGGGGAATTACTCCCGTATTCCCTTCCCGATACCCCGGCCCCGGGGCCCCACGCCAAAATACCGCGCTCCTTCTCTTAAAAGGAATCGAGGGCGCGGTGCCCCGACCGGTTGCCCGGCCGGATTGGCCTTCGATATGATGTGAACATTTTTCATAGATTTCAGGTTTGGACATGCGTGAGTCAAATGGATCTAAACCAAAGATAACCATATTTTATTTATTTTCTCGTTTTAAGAATGCATCTGCGCATGAGCTACAAATGTTGATAACTCCGAAGAGTAAAAGGATGGGATGCACTATGGCTATAATAATACTATAGCTATAATATTAAGCTTCAGAAAAAAACTTCTGTTTTCTCTGTCGCTCTGTGAAGACGAGATTCATCGGTTGTGTATCTACATAATACAGTTTAAGTGTGTCTACATAGTAAAAATGTACGCTGCCGGTGCTAAAGTGAACGTTATGGACATGAAATATTACACACCGATTCAATACGAGGACGAGACTCCACTGTGCAAAAAAAAGGTGTGAGAGATGAGTATCATAATGTTGTTTCTTTTAATTTATTCGTAGTAATCTTTTTCCGAGATTCAGAC